TAAGAGAAAAATAATCGATCGCGATTGGTCAATTTGTATGACTTACGACTCTATGACTTCTATTGTGGACGAGGTAAAACTCTGTCAGAGATTGTAACGAAACTATTGGCCTGTTCGTTTTGTCTGCACTGCTGAACTGGTGCAACAGGTTGAAGTGAGAAAACCTATGTTTGTCTCATTTTAACTTAATGCACTAGTTCAGCAGTGCAGACAAAACGAACAGGCCTAAAGGCTCGTCTACAATAGCTGTAAGAGTAAGGCTGTAAGGCTGTAACGTAAGTTGTCAGCGAATGAAAATATTTCATTTCGTGTCTTGCAACCTTACAGCCTTATTCTTACAGCTAATGTAGACGAGCCTTAATAATGAAATTAATTTCAAGCTTAATTCTCACTTTCCTCTGATTGGCCAAATTTCCGTCTCCAATTCGCAGTGAGAGCGAAAATAGAAACGAACAAATCGAGGAGTCAGTTAACGGTGCGTCGCCGATAGGTGGCGCCTGGAGTGACTCTGACTGCGCGGCGACTCACGGCGCTCCTGCAGGCCCAGTGCGAAAATAAAAGCCCGGAGGCCGAGTGGAAACTCCAAAATGGCGCGACTGCGAAGTGTAAACACCCAGTTTTGATGTCGATGCAGAGTGTAGAAGCCGTCGTACATTCGCGTCAATACCTAGCCGCGCCCGGCGCACCCCGTTTGTTTTTCGTCGCAACGAGTGGCAAGAGGAAATCCCGGCTGAATGTTCACCGTATCCACGATCGCCCATTCGATTCCAGGTAAATCCACGGCGGGTTTGTTTCCGTGACTCGTTTTGATGTCATCTAGTGCTTCTGCCCGCGCGGCCGCATGCTCCCGTGAATTCACAGTACCCACCGTGTGTCCTGTCGAGGAAATGTGTTCGTCGTTTCCTCTCGAGGCGCAACATTTCCCTAAGGCCCCTCCACGCACTCTCGTGTACACACGCAACCCACACTAGACCACTAGTGGCCCGAATAAATTGCTCCAGTTTTATCATGTAAGATGCCAGAATGAAGAAAAGGGAAGGATATAGCTGTGCTCTACATCTCGTCTGATGTGTTTGCTATAGTAATCTTTTAGTGCCTGTTGAGTCATGATTAGAGTAGATTGAGTGAGAATTTACTTACCATGATTAGCTATATACTGATGTGGGTTAGAAGCGAGTGTTTGTTGCAGCAGTAGTTAATAGGTTGTTGTAAGTGAAAGGAGATCAATTTTCAGCAGCCGGCAACTGAGATATTAATACTGATAAAGAAGAGAGACAGGATTGGTTATATTTTGGTCGATACATTGATCGATGCTGCTATAATTGATTGTTAGGTTCAATTTTATCAGTATCCTGATTATCTTTTAGAAATATACATGTGGACTTTAATATAGTAGTTAATGTTAATTAGATATGATTGGTTGTTGGAAAACATGAAAAATTATTAGCGAGGTATAGATGTAGAGTACGGTTTGTTTGATGTTTGATAGATATTGAATGTCTCGTACAGTATATTAGTAATCTTAGTATGGTTAGAGGTTCCAATCCACTCAAGCTCATAGTTGTGAATCAGATCCTGAAATTCTTGCATAGAGAAGATCAGATTAGCTAGTTTGACATTTTAACACTCAGAAAAGATGATGTAAAATTTTCCATGTTGGCTCAATGATAGAGAAGGGTATGTTGTTCGCATGCTCTTAAAAGTAGTCTCTTTTTGAATTGATTATCTTGAATTTTTTATTACAATTATATATTTATATTATAGTACATTGATCAATGCTAATATAATAATTGATTGTTAGGTCCAATCTTATCAGTATTCTGATTATTTATTAGAAATATATATGTGGACTTTACTGCGGTAGTTCATGTTAATACATTAAGTATCATTGATTATTGGAAAATATGAAAAATTATTAATTAGCGAGATGTAGATATAGAGTACAGGTTGTTTGATGCTTGATAGATATCAAATGTCTCGTAAGTGTATTATTAATTTTTTTTTTAATATAAGTTGCTTAATTACATGGCAGAGACGAAACTGAGTATACGCATTGTGTATTTTAATAATAATTACAAATCGATTATTCAGTCAGATCTGTCGCACGAAGATACTCATGTGCAATATCTCGTGTTTTTCAGGGAGCGACCCAAGCAAAATGGCACAGAAGCGCAGTGCTGTCCACATAGGGTGAGTTGTAAAAGTAACATGCATATTTAGGTTTAATCGAGACACTCGGTTCTCCCCCAAACCGAAGTCCTAAAATCGCATCGCAGAGAAAAACGAGTACCCTTACGCATAGAGTAACACGTTGAAGTCGACTAATGTGAAGAAAGCCGAAGGGGGGGATAATCCATATAACTCGATGAGAAAAAGGCAGTATTTTCTGAATTTATTACAAGAAAAGTATTAAGCAGATACTTTTGAAACTTTCAGAAGACTCTTAATTGGTACTCTAAACAAGTAAAAAATATTTGCATAAAAGAATAGTATGAATATAGTGGATTTTAAAGGCAATTGTTGCCACTAGTTGCTACCAGATCCCGCTGCATCCTGTAGAGGCGCAAAAGTATTAACACGAGACCATCCTGCGTCTTCCGGCGAGGAATGTCGGGATAAAATACAAAGTCCCTCTCTCCCTCTCTTTCGGAAAGTATTCACGCGACGGAAAGTATCCATCATCCCATGGTACGTCGAAGGATGGGGAGGCCTGAGTCGAAAAGAGGCGCGACGTGTTGAACTCGATGAGAATAGCTTGCGATCGAGAGGCGAATTTCGCGGCGCGGCGATTATTACACGCGGTGTGTCGCGCTTGATTGACGCGGTTCTGAGAAATGATGCAGCGGGATCAGTTACGGCGTTTGCCGCGCATAATACGGTGAGCAATTCTCCGCCACCCCGACAATGGCCGCTGCTCGGCTAACGTCCCGCCTTCGCCGCACGGCGCGGCGGGAGAGGCTCTTTGCGAAAGCGCGCGCAAGAAACATTTCGTTATCGTACTTAAACACCGCTCGTACTTTTATCCGCACGAGCCTTTTTCGAAAACACTTCGCTGCCGGGGGAGTTTCGGCACGCGAGAGCCGCCGGCGCGCAAATGTCAACCGCCGACGCCGTTGACGCGCCGCGCGAATCCTCGCTACTTCCGCGCCTCTATCAAGCCTCATTAAGCGCCCGAGTGTCATTAACGCCGCAACTACCGGCGATTGGCGCGACCTGTTTCTTCGGCCGCTGTGGCCTCGCAGGACCGTCTATTTACTTCCCTTCGCAATCGTACGCCCGACGCTCGCCGTTAGACAAATTCCAGTAATTTTCACCCCGATGGCCGCTTCGAGTTGGAGCCGCCAGATACGCGGAATAGACGTGACCGCTCACGCTTCTAACGAAAACCAAGCCGGGCTTCGGCTCGAAGCGAAACGAAACCCCTTCGAGGGGTTCTCGTCCCCCGCCGTTCGGTTCGCTCGGCCGCTCGCTCGCTCGCTCGCTCGCTCGCTAGCAGCGCGATGCATCCCGCGGTTAAAAGTCGTGCTTCGCAACGGTGGCTGTCCCGGGCTCTCTGGTGGGAGAAGTGATAGTCCTCACCGGGGTATACCGCAGCAGCACATTATGCGGCTATGGTGGAATCAGTCACTGGCGAGTTGTGGGTGGTGGCTAGTCGGCGACCCGTCCGTCCGTCCGTACATACGTACGTGCTTCCGCGTCGGGCCGCGTCGCTTCGCCAGCATCGATCGCGATCGAGAGAGCGCCACGCCGCGCCGCGCCGCGGAAAATTCCGAACGCCTCGCGCTGTGACGCGACGCGCGGACGTGACGAACGCGCGATCGCCCTCGGGTCTCGGCTTTGGATTCGACTTCGATGACGCCCGAGGAAGAGAGCGAGCCGCCGCGCCGGCGAACGAGTGTTCCTCTTTGACGGGCCGAATCAAGTCGGTGTCGTCCCGCGAGGGCTGCCGGCAGCTCAACATGTGGAGCACGTCGCGGTAGATGCAAAGGACCCGCTGCGACCTCTCTCGCCGGGAGGATCCCGAATTCTGCGGAATCCAGCGGAGCGCGTCTCTCGCCGCCGCCGCCGCCGCCGCCGCCGCCGTCGTCGACGACGACGACGTCCTCCTGCAAGCCGATGATCTCAGCGTCTGGAGAAAACCGCGGCGAGCGAGTCATCCCGCGCGGCTAACCGCCGCGACGCGGCCGCGGCGCGGGGGGAGCGCACGGTGCGGTTTCGCGCGGGAACTCTCCCGAGACAGAGAGAGAAAGAATTTGCGTGCGCGTGTCTCGTTACGCGAGCTCAGCCGAACTAATTTAGAACGAGTCACGAGAGCCCGTTTCACGGCTTTCTCGCCGGCTCTCCGGCGCCGCACGTCTTCCAGGAGAAGAGGACCTTGCGCGCCTCGTCCAGTCCAGGAGAATTCGGGAGGAAGCCGCGAGGACTCGGGAGATGCGTCTCCGCGAGCGAGGCTAAATCGGCGCCGATTTGCCTCGCCAGGTCACCGGCGCGGCGCGGCGCAACCTCACTTCTTTTTCTTCTTCTTCTTCTTCTTCTTCAGCGATGGCCGCTGCCGCGGTTTTCCCGCCGACGACTAGCAGCAGTGCGACGATTCGACGGCGCGAGTGCGACGACGACGGGCCGCCGAGCCGGCGAGCCCGCGGCTCTCGTGACGCCCCGGCCGATCGGCCGAGACAATAGTCGCGTTAACGGAGCGCGTGGGCAGGACGCTCTGGAAAGCGAGCGGAACGGAGAGCCCGCCGCACGCGGCGTGAAAGTGGCCGGGCCCGCGCGCGCTTTCGAAAATCGAAATCGCGCCAACGTGGCCGAGGAGGCGCGCGCGCTTCGCCCTCTCCGTGCTTTCCTTCGTGCTCGATTAATCGCGCGCGCCGACTAACGGCATCGCGATCGTGCCGCCGCTCCGCCGCCGGAGAAACGCGGATTTTGCTCGGACCCTGCGGAATATATCCGGCAGGAGGGAGGGAGGGAGGGAGGGAAGGGGCGCCCGTCAAAGCCGCGGCGGTGTGAAGCCGCGCGTTTCCCGAGTCTCCCGCCGGGATACGAATTTCCCGCGGCGCGCTGCCCGCGGGAGAGCGGAAGGTGGACTTTGTCACGTGCACGAGAGGACGAGGATTCGTATCGGCCGGCCGCGAGATAAACGCGGGATTCCGAGAAGTGCGCGAGGCGATAAAAAATACCCGCGCCGGGTAGTCGCCGGTGGATTTTCGGCGCGCCAGGCGCGCCTCTTCGACTCTTCGCACCGAGGGATCCGAGGAGATGAGCGGATCGGCAGCATAACTTGTCGCAACGCAACAGCAGCTTGGATCTCCCCGAGAACGACACTCGCCGGAAATATCCTCCGCCGAAGACGACTGATCGGCCGCTGGATCGATGCTGGATCCACGCGCTTTGTCGCAGGTACCCGAGGTGACAGGATAATACGGCAAGGAGGGTCCCTCGAAATCCGCCGCGCTATTGAGCCCTCAAGGTGTCCTCCCGCCCGGAGACCTCGTCTTCGCGCGAAAGCGCACCGCGAGCGTCGAATCGCAAAAACACGACGGCCGACGAGCAGACCGCCTGTCGGCGGCCGCTCGTCACGCCTTGACGTACTCGCTCGACCCGGAGGTGGCGGCTTCTTCACGTTGAGGGAGGACAACGAGGCGATCACAAAGCGACGCCCCGGAGCGTCGATGTTACTAATCGAGAGTGCGTGTGTAATGGCTACGAGCGAGGATGCGAGAGCGCGCGAATAAAAGGAGCCGCTGTGACCGCGGAGGAGCGGCCGATTAACTCGGCGACGGAGCCGATCCGGAGCCGTTTTCCCCGAGAGAGAGAGAGAGAGAGAGAGAGAGGTGTGCAACATCGCGACGACCAGTCAGCTCGCCGGCGGTTCAACAACGACTCGTCCCCCGATAACGAGGACCTTGGCGAGGCGCGACACGAGGCGGCATGCGATCTCGCGCCGACGAGGCGGCCGATTGACTCAACTCAGGGTGACTGCAGCTCTCTCGGCTGCGCGTGAGGCCCCCCGCGGGCGACTTCCAGCACGAGCAGCTCGGCCGGACGGGTCGAGCCGGAAACGCCGGCAAAATTGAGTACCTCGGCAACAGCAGCATGTACGGCGGCGGTGGCGCGGGCTACGGGCCCGACCCGGGCCCGGAACCGGGCCCTTCGCACTACGCGTCCCCCTCCGCCACGGTGGGCTACCAGTTGGCCCTACCGCCGCCGCCGCCGCCGCCGCCACCCCCGCCTGTCTGCCCCGCCAGCGGAAGTCAACTCCTGTCTTACGGCCCCGACTTATCGCCTCATCATATCCAGCAGGCCCACGCGGAGACCCAACAGCCCAAGAGGCGAAGGTAGAGAGAACAAGCAAACTGCGTTACCTCTTTCGCACGACGCGCCTCGCGTCGCTCGCCCTCAACTCGCCCCTGACTCACCCCTCCGAATCGAGTAAAGAGAATGAACCGCGCGGGACTTGAATATTTTTATTGACCGCGCGCCGCCGGCTCTCGTGACGTCGATTTCCGTCCTCAAGCCAGTCGAGACCCCTGATCGCGCGCGCGCGCGCGCGTGCAACTTTTCGTCTAATCGCCGCTGCAGATTCTAAAGCGTACGCGCCGGCTTAATCACGCGTCCTCAATTAGCGCCCGCCACATCGCGATTCGTCAGCCACGCGTCGGCCGCTCTGACGTGGCGCCGACGATTCGCAGAATCTAGCCTCGCGAGCGCGACAGAAAGGAAAGAGGAGGGATCAAGACGAAGGAGGAGGAGGAAGAGGAGGATGACGAGGAAGGACAGATAGCAGCCGTGTTTGAATCGAGAGATTGCCCGATTATCGACGGGCGTAAAAATGCGACGTAGATGCGATCTAACGCGCCGAGCGCCAAACGGCGCTTCTCTAAAACTCCTGGAACGGCCTTCCAGGACGAGACACATTGGAAATCCAAGGAAAATGGGTTGTTCGGCGATTTTCCGCTCTCCCGCGGCACTTTCGTTTAATCGACTACGGAATATACGAGGTTTGATGACAAAGTAACGAGAATTTTTAATTTTCTCGGAAAGTATTTATTTAATCTTCAATGTTTATCCCATCTCCTTCAAGTCCCCCTGTGATATTATACACTTGCACCAACGTAGTTTCCAGTTTGAGAAACATTGGTGGAACGCCTCTTTAGGTATCGTCTTGAGCTGGATCTGCGATTTCGCCTTTATCTCATCTATTGTTGAAAAACGTTGTCCTTTGAGTGTCCTTTTGAGTTTGGGAAATAGGAAAAAGTCACAGGGGGCCATGTCTGGAGAATAAGGTGGTTGTGGCATCACAACGGTGTTGTGTTTCACCAAGAACTGTTGGATAAGCGAAGCGGTGTATGCTCTCTGATCCGACATTTCGCCACACAAAAAGTCGCCAAACACACTGAAGTACGTCTTGCTCATTCACTCGCCAAACACAAACTAAGCGTCGCAGCTGCCTGAAAATTGACACGTACTGGTCACTGGTAGTGCTACCAACACACAAGAAAGAATCAACCGAATAGACAGGATACAGCGCGCGCAATTTCAAAATTCTCGTTACTTTTTGATCAAACCTGGTACGAGCATAAAGTTCGGAAATCTCGAACGTCGCTGCGATTCATTTTATTCATCCTTTTTCGTCGGTAACATTAAACGTAAACACTGCACGGGTAGGTTCGCGAGTCCCTCCTCGCAGTATGCAACTGCATGAAGAAAGAGCGGGTCTGAAACGTCCCGCGCTAACGAGAGTGAGAAACGTTACAAAACATACGTATAGTCTTACGCCGGGTAATTTCCATTCGCGCTGCGACCGTCGCGTATTATTGTTGGTCGTTATGTACGAGTGTTATTGCAGAATCAGCAGGTTTTTGTCCGCATCAGCATGTCGGCCGGCGGCTCGCATAACGATTGATGTAGCGATTTTGCTTTCCGCCGTATTAAAACCGGCCGACGGGTGTGAACGATTCGTCTTCTCTTTGTATAATTTTATATTTATTATCAGGAGTGTGGTTTAAGTCTTTTTTTAGGCTTTCGCAAGAGATGGTACTAACATCAATTTTGTAAAAGATTCCATTCCAGTCACAGCTATTGTTTCCCTTGGTGCTTTGGTATTAATCCATGATATTTAGTCATTTACTAACAGCAGATGCGATAAAAATCGCGTTGATATTATCTTAAAAATGCTTCCTAAGGAGCATCCTCGACATGCTTTTGTTTTTTAATCAGAAGAAATCGGCGGCTGAAGGTCATAGAATTCTGATAGAAACTTGTGTGGTGATGTTGCTCCATCAATTAAGACATGTGAATATCGACTTAGACAATTCGAAAGTATTGTCGTAAATCTTACCGCACTCCGCGTACTCTCCAGACATTGCTCCATCCGATTATCACTTGTTCCGGCCGATGCAACATGCTCTGGAGGAGATGCACACCTTTATAACTTGGAGCAAGTGCGAAAATTTGTTGAAAATCGGATCAACTCCAAAGAAGAATCTCTTTATCGTCGCGGAATCCATCTCTCGCCGGAAAGATGAGAGAAGCTTGTCGAAGACGAAGGAAAATATTTGTTTGTTTTTGTTTTTGAGAAAGAAACCCTCAAAAAGAAATCACACTCCTAATATATTTGTCGAATCCTCCGGCAGCTCCGACGCTCTCCTGAGCGTCGCGACTCGGGAATATTTCAAGCAAACAGCCGCGTGCCGGTACTCGTCGGGGCAAAAAGTCGATTCATCGGAAATAGCTCCGGCTCCGGCCGGGGGATGCGAGCGCGCCAAGGGGCGTCCTTCCCTTTTCTTTCATTCGGCCATTATATATCCTCGCCTCTCTCCTCAGCGTGGCCTTACTTTCATCGAACCCAACGCGGTCACGCGCCATTGATTCCCCGGCTTCGTCTCTTAGCGGTCGCTCGTACGCGTGTCACGACATTCCTGCCGTTCCGTTGGCAGCTTTGGGGCGCGTTGCCGTCCGATTAGTTCGATCGTAACGGCGATTTGCGCCGACTGAAGGATCCGTTGCGTGGATGTTTGCTCACTTGTTGCTCTCCCCCCGGAGACACGCGGCCGAGTGAGAATTTCCAGCGGGCTCCTCATGCCTGCCGAGCACGGGAGCACCCCTTTTTCTCTCTCTTTCTCTCTCTCTCTCTCTCTCTCTCTCTCCTTCTCTCTCTCTCTCTCTCTCTCTCTCTCTCTTCGTCGAAATTATTTCATCAAACGTCTCGAGATCGCGTGTCGCGCGAGAGGAGATCCTCGTCGAAGAGCGACTGCGAAGTTGAAGCAGCCGTTCTCCGACTCGCGATCGTGTTGTTCAATAACTCGCGGGCAGTTTCCGGCGTTCGAAGAGCGCGCGCGCCGAAAAGGAAAAAGAAGCAACGCGGATACGAGCGACGGTGTTTCGAGCGTATTTCGAAACGAGTTCGTGCCGCTCATTTCCTGCATCGTACCTCGCGCATAAAGATTGACACGCGTATCTTGTATAAAAAAAACTTTTCGCGCGCGCGGCCTTGGGCGAGGCGATACTCGGGCGCAGTCATCGAAACAACGATAACGATAATCTCGCGGAACCATAACGAAACTCGTGCAAGACGATATTATGAGAAGGATACACATAATTATAGTCCTAGGCACGTGCGGCGCGATAAGCCGCGATATCTAAAAATGTATATTAACAAAAATGCAGCGGCGCGCGATAGGTGGTGCGACTTTTTATCGCGCGCAATGGAAGAAGCCTCTCTCTCTCTCTCTCTCGCGCTCGCTCGCTCGCTCGCTCGTCGTGATCGCCGATAAATCTATCGAGATTAGAAGGGGAGGGAGGGGGGAATTTTCAGCTATCTGCGCTACGTGCCGAGAGAATCGTCGCGGGAATCTCGATCTTTTTTTCTTTTCCTTTTCACTGATCATCACGCGCTCGCGTTTTACGCGCGCGCGACAGCTTGAGTAATGTCGGCAGGCAGGCCGATGCTGAATAAGTGCGTCCCCGTCGGCTGCTTTTACGGTGCAAATGCAATCCAAACAGCATTCGCATAATTGGAATGTGTGTTAAAATGATTACCGCGCGCGCGCGCAATTAGCATCGAGCGGCGGAGAAAGGCGCGCATGCTCTCCGCGCACGCACGACATGTAAAGAACGAACTACGCTGATCGCACACGGTCGACTTTGAATCCCAAAGCGTGAAGGATAAAAACACGCTCGGTATAAAAGGAAACAAGAAAAACGCGCATCGACGCACCTCCGCGCTAAAAAGCGGAGGAGAATCAGCGGAAGCGAGCCGGCGCGGCGCCTGCCGAGTCGCTCGAGCAGTCTCTCTTATAGGAATATAGGGACAGAGCATAGAGTTGTGAGGGGGGATAACCATTGCGGGACGGTGCGACGAGGTAAACTGTGCCTAAATCTAATTGGTGGTTGTGCTGTGTGTAAGTATTTGATACATACATAGACGTGTATGAAGTTGCGTGTGAGTGAAATTATGAAAAAAAAAAAAAGACATGCATATAACCTCTGCAAAATACTGTCAGTGTAAATGATTCTCATCATTTTATTACATTTACTATTTGCCAGTGACGGCCAAGTCGTTGCATCACATGCTTTGAATATGCGCACTATTGTAACCTATTGGTCTGTTCTTTTTAGCTGCACTACTGAACTGGTGCAATAAGTTAAAGTGAGAAAAAATATAGTTGTCTCATTCTAACTTATTGCATTCTAACTAGTTCCGTAGTGCAGCTGAAAAGAACAGACCAAATGAAACTTAGGCATAGTCGCCCTCCGCATTTCAGCACAACTCCCCTCGCCTATCTTACGGGTTTATGCTCTGTCCCTATATTCCTATGTCAATGGTCTCTCCTCTCGTGTCTCTTTCATAATCGCGCCGACTGTCATCATTTGCGAGTTCGCGTCCGCTCTCTTTCGCAAAGCTCCACGGAAATTAATTCAACGACAATTAACTCGGCTCGAGTCCCGGCGATCGGCAAAGTTTCCGCGGAAAGTCCCCGCGGGATAAAATCTCCTTTCTTCGCTCTCAGTTTCTCCGGCTCTCTTTCCTTCTTCTTTCGCAGCCGCGGAGACTTTTCTTCGGAATCCCCTCTATCGCGTGCGTCGCCGCGCAAGGAGACGGACAAAAAAAGAAGCGGTCGCGCGATAAACGCGGCGCGGCCGTGTTTCCTCGTACGCTAATGAGGTATTACGCAGCGCGCCGATCGCGTTCGATTCGCTCGTCCTCGCGCAGGCACGCCACGAGGCGAGCAAACTACGTCGATCGCTGGCGCCGTCTAATGCGACGAGCTTAGCGCTGAACGCCCGGCACGCTGCAGGCAGCGCGGGCAAAACCCACTCGGCGCGGAATTCGTCA